CACGGCCACAGTAATCAAAATAAGTTGTAACAGAAAACATAGAAGGTTCAGTCAGATAAGAGAAGGTTGAGGCGAACAGAAACCCCCACTGAACTGTCTACTAACCTGGCAGCAGAGAGTCGGCGAGCCAGCTGTCCGCTGATAAGAAAAACTCTTAAAAACATGGAAGTGAAGTAGTGCCAGCAGATATCACGATTATTCTCATCTTCATCCACCCTGCGTTGTGTCTGGCAGTCTTGGGAGATATGACAACAGAAAGACATGTTTGAAGGAAGGGAACTGATTCGAGAATCCCATCATGTGAAACACAGTCCTGCCCATGCTTGCTGATTATGTAGTCTCACCCTTTGAAGGTCATTTTGGAATTGTAAAGTATTGCAGTGTGCCAATGGAGATACTTTTTAGTCTTGCAAGAAGTGCTGATTTGTTAGAAAGGAAATAAGAGAAAACGTGACAAGGAGAGGGAGAGAAAAGGAGGCTTGCCTTTGCTGCGCCCGTGACTTGCAGAGGTTAATGCGTCTCTGCTGCGTTCTGACACACGGCTGCCTCATTCTCTCTTGCGCATTATCTCCTGTCTTCAGAGGCGACAAAGCTAGTAAGCTTCTCTGACAGGCAGCAAAGGTAAGGCCCGATTTCCTTTCATTGTAAAAACAAGGCCACAGATTTGTCTGCAAATGGAAATCTGTGAATGAGGAACTCGGGAGCTGACGGACAACAGTGGCTTCCTGTAGTTAGTGTGAGAAAGAGAGTGCAAGAGTCTAAAAGACACACACTAAGACTTCAATTAAAATGTTACGCTTCACAGAAGAACACTGCCTGTATAGCAGGTGTTAGCCTGTGGGTGCAAGACAGAAGCAATCAATCAGTCAGTCAATAAATCGTTAAGTGTGCCAAGCAAGTTCTACGTTAACTCTCCTCATACACTCACTCCGAGATCCAGAGATGAGAAGGGGTTAGACATCAGTACAATGAAGATGAACGAGATGTTTCATACTGACAAGAAATTGTCATGTTTCAAAACACATATTTCTGCAGAAGAAATTAATTTAGGCATGAATGCCGAAATCATTTTAGCTGCAAAAAAGACTGCTTTAATATAAGTTTCTTCAATGGTTTCCTTTTATAATGTTCATACCTGAAACATTTTTATGTATTTTATATAATAAATACATGAATAAATAGTTAATTATATGCACTTTGTAATATTCATTATATGGAAATATTGTGTTATTTAAAAAACAAATATTAGCCTACATGTAGGACTGTGTAAAAAATGTTTTTTTTTGTATTTATGAAATAAAACACATTTTATTATTTAATAAATAAAATAAATAATGATTAATTGTTTATTGATGAATATTATTTATACATTTAGTTTTTATTTCGTTTTAAGAAATTTCTCAATATGTTTTTATGCACTGTAAAAAAAAATCCACCTAATTCAACTAAATATTTAAGTTCAGCTGCTTCCTTACATTTTTTAAGTATAATCAAATTGGCTGTACTACTCATTTTCAACTAACTTTTTTTTCCCCTTGCCTGCACATTATTCCTTTCTTTGTTTATTTGACTGATTACTGCTCCTCCTTTCAGATACATCACTGTTTGCATTTCCTAGCATGCAGGTGCTGATCTGAGTGGGGTGGGAAAATGGTAAATGCCATCTAAAAATACCCCACCCCCCAATCCCTCCCCTTTCCTCGTCTGACTCAGCTCGTCCCTTGGAGTAACTAGCAAAAATGAGCGAGAAAATGGAAGAGTGACGACACTGGTACAATAACACATTCCCAGGGAAAATGTCATGTGTTTGAAATACTGCTTGGCCAGCCTGGCTCTCTAAACAGAAGGGATACGTGGAGTTATTGTTTATGAAAAGGGGAGAAAGAGCAGATGTGAATTGTGAACACACCCACATGCATATACACACATTTTTATAGACATGGAAATCAGGTGCTGGTTCACTGATAGATTGGCTTATGGTATATGATGCAGCAAAAAAAAAAAAAAAATGATTGTGGGGAAAAGTACATTTTTGACCCTGTGTGAGAATCAGAAGTGGGCTACAGTGGATCAATGCATGAAATGAGAGCGTTTGCCCTTTTCCCTATAATAATCCTATGTCCGAGAAAAGACCCCTGAGCACCGATTGCTGATCAAAAGCCCCTCGCTCCCCCACAGGCCCCCGAGGGGCCGCACCCGACCAACCGCAGCATTTCTCATTCAAGCCATCTGCACTGAGAAAACCCTCATGAGGCCCACAACAATCATTGATTTACTTTAGTGACGGTAATTCCAAAGAATATGTTGACGGATATGAATTTACATCAGCTTACTAACATTGCGTTTTTTGTTTTTTTTGCACCTATCAGTTGCAGGTTGGTACAAATCCATTTGTATTATCCATCTCGAGTCCATAAGGCTTGTGCCTTCTGTTGTGCGGTAACTATTTCTGCATCAACACTTTCTGCAGCAAAAGGATTTATTTGAGATCGAGCAGGCTGACTTTTCCATTCTCCCTTCAGCACCAGAAGTCCTTGTTTCAGACTAAAGCACACTTGACATTGCACATATGCCCATAACAAGCTCCCAACCGATCATGCATTCACAATAGGGTGCCGTCAATAGAATTACCCCTGAATTTTTAAAGGCATTCCTCAAAAATGCAAGGAAATTCAATTAATCATTGATCCATCCTTCTCAGTGCAAACTGACTGATCTCATTTCAGTTCTGGGTTTGTCCGCAGGCTAAATATTATGAATATGAGGATGTTTAAGATAGGAAGACTCATTGCGCTCAGTGTAACTTGATCTGGCTTTGCACTCTAAATGCCTTGATTTTCAGACAAAGATGTAAGTCCTTAAAAACAGTGATTCATAATGCATCAATTGTTTGGATTCTTTGTCTTTGTGTCGCAGCGCAGCTTTCGTGAAAGAGTCAGTGTCAAGATCAAACGGAATCGTGAGGCTAAGCAATTACAGAGCTCAAAAGATAATGCACTGTATCAATACGAATAGCTCCAAAATGGAACAGACTCCTCAGTCCAGAGGAAGCCAATGGGATGCCAGTTAGTCAACAAAACTGCATGAGGAATATAATATGAACCTTCAGCAGTCTCTGTGATGTTGCATTGACCCAATCTCACGACCCAGTCGAGCCAATTTAATTTTGTACTTCAACCAAACAGGCGATGCAATTGACTTCCTGAGAGTTGCTGAGATACCAGCATCTGGGTATATGAAAAAAGCAGAGAGACTAATGATTTTGGACACCTCATTTACCACCAGTCTGATAAAGAAAAAATGTTGTGTCCATGATCTTTAACTGCGAACAAATATAATTTAACCTATTATGGGAAAAAAATATTATGATGACCTGCAGGGATAGTCAAAATACATACATACATACATGTGTGTGTATATTTTCCCTGTTTGGGAAAATGTGTGTCTGTTAATGAGATGCCCTGTTTTGCTGTGCTCCAGTTAAGTCAATTTTGACAGAGTCACTCCATAATTGCTAATTAAATGTTGTGAAATGTTATTTGGAGCATATTATTTTAAAACATAAAAGCATGTCAAAAATGTAAACACGTAAGCTTCTTTATAGAGATAACATAGAGGTTGAAGTTGAAGTATTTTTTGCACATGCTCTGTTGAATTTCAATGGGGCTGCATAGATTCAGGACCTTGGACAGAGACACTGCATTTGACGCCTCTCATGTCTGCTCACGCAGTGAATGCCATGGTTGGTTAAAGCTACGTAATTGATTCAGCCATTCAAATCTGATAGAGGACAAACAACAAAGTGACATTTAAAAGTCACTTTTGCAAGTATTTACTCATTTAAAGCCATCATAGAAGACAATATTTGAGAGAGTACAATCAGAGGGTCATTGGGTCAACAACATTCACTTGTAAAAAAAGAGTTCATATTTTTTTGTTCTCCAGATTAGCATATTGGCTTCTGGGTTCTCTAAAGCATCAGTAAATACATCGTGTTCTAAAGAACTCTAAGTTGTGACATTAAACTCCTTTTTGTTTTAATTGTAATCTTTATTTTTTTAAAGTGTCACTTGTTGACCGCAGTACAATCAATACCTTTGTACAAAACCAAATGTCACTAACCCACTGCTCATTTTTCACAACATTCCTTAAACTTAAAGACTAGATACTGAAGCCGTAGAGTGATATAGAAAAGGAGGAAATTGAGATTGTGATGAACAGTATGATTAATGGGGCTGAACAGAATGGGAGTTAAAGACCAGAAAATGAAAACTCAGCGGCCATTCATTAAATGTCAACAAAATGTGTTAAATGTCTTTGGTCTCTTTCAAAGACTCATGTCTGCCATTTGCTTTATTCCCCTTTACAATTTTGTTTCAGTGCACATTTAGGATTTGTGTCTCAAACGTTGATATATTGTCTACTAGTAGAAATACACTGGAAAGTGTCACACCCCTCCTTTATGGTCAGCCATGATTTTAATAGTTTTTTTAACATGTAAATGAAAAGCTTGTGTGGAAGTTGGGATAACAAAATTAAAAAGAACCTCCTAATTCAGATTATTTAATAACATACATCAACATGATCACAAATCAATGTGACATGATAGGCTGGCTACTATCTTACCACAGAATAGTTTTTTTGTTCCATAAATCCTGTTTTGCAAAATCTCTCAACTATCTCATGAGGTTGTATGATAGTGTTTCCCCCAATTTGTTTAACTGATGGTGTTTTTTCTCCTGTTAATATCATTAGCCAACTTGTTTGCAAATTTCAAGGCAAAATAACGCAGTTAAACATTCTGGACTGCACATATGACAGCAAAAACACTACGTATCATTCACCTGTGTGCACCACACTAGTCGCAACTAGTCCAACTTAGCTTTTGTTTCAATGGGATAGTCCAATCGAAAGGGTGGTCGCGTTATAAATGAGCCTCCACTCGGCTGAGGGGAAGTATGCTGTCTCGGAATACGGCATTGAAAGAGAAAGAACACACGAACCCCGGCGAGAAAGAGTGTGTGTGATGGTGTAGAGAAGGCGCATGTGTGATGAGTGTGTATGTGTATGCAGACACTGCCCACCGCTGTCGCGCTCCCCCCATCTTGCATGTGGACCGTCTACCGCCGGACGGAGTCGCACCAGGGTTCGTGCCACTGCAGGGGAAAAACCCGGCAAGAATGGATTTCTAACAACGTTTCTCCTTTCTGTCCTTTACCCAACTGACGTCATCCTCAATGTCTCTCACAAATTTGAACTAACAAAATGAGGATTTCTTGTAATCAGCTCTTACTGCTATTCTCTTGCGTTTGGGGACTCACTATGGGTGCTTTTCCGAGCAGCGTTCAAATCGGTAAGTACGGCGATGCTTGTCAAAGACACGAGCTTCACGTTAAACAGTGTCAAATGAATGACAAAAATAAGACCGTCTGCAGTGGGGGTCAACTGCGAATGTCAGTGCGCAAATAATGCGGTTGGAAGTAGATTTGTTGTATGACAGTAAAGGATAATTTTAGAGGGAAATAGTTTTTTTTTTTTTTTTTGGTATAGCCTACTTTTTGATTGTTTGTTTTTAGCTGTCAAACAGATCAGTGTGCCACGTTTTGGTTATGGCACCACTGCAGTGCTCTCCGTGGCTCTAACGGGATGTTGTTCTAAAGATGAATCATTCTGAACAAGGGCACAAACGCAATGAAAGTTTATTTATTTATTAATGAATGCTTTGTGAAATCAAAATAGTACGGATAAATGATCACAAAACGACTTAAATATTAATTCACCACCCCGTGAATAGAAAGTGGCTTAATTTATTCCAATACTGCATCAAGCCCTGTGTCAAGCTCTGAGACTCATGGTGCCTGTGAGATACATGATCTCTCACTCTTAGCCTATTATTTTACTGAAATAATGTAAAGTGTACCGTTGTCTAAGGAATGTAATGCCTTAATAACACTGTCAAAATTCCATAAAATTTACAGTAAAAAAAAGCAACAACTAGCAGCTGTGATTTTGTGAATTCAATATGGTGACGTTTCAGGCATTAAGGGAGGAGTTTTGTTGTCCTTTACATTTTGTATAGGCTTTATTATTAAGTTATTATTGAAACTATTTAATTAATATTGAGTAGATTGGAAAGAAAATAGACAGTTAGCTGTCTACATATATTTCTTTTTAGCCAACAAAAATAGTTCCAAAAGTAGCCAAAGTGTCAAGTCTTGCGTGTCACCAAGCAATGCACAGACTAAAATCCAGAATGGAGCTGCCTATGGAATGGAGCAATAGATATTTCCTCGCTCAAAGCATTCTGTAATCACTAGCTAGCTCCACTCTGGGTTTTACATTTCACGCTTCCCGCCCACTAGTGAGAGAACCCCACAAATGTTGTATAATACAAATCTTTTTATTTTATTTATTGCACCAGAAACTATAAAAGTCAACAGAAAGTCAAAAAAATTATAGTTGGACTTTCCATCCTGAAACATGTAGAAACCGTGCAGTGTTATCAACACAAACAAACAAATATAGATATAGATATAGACACACACTATAGTATCAGGGTAACACATTTTCAATTTGGCGTTTTAGAATGCCCCCATTAGCTACATTTAATTTTTTTGTATTTCGCATACTGCCCAATGTTCTCCTTCAAATAATATATAAATGTTGCCTATGTTGCATTTTAGAAAAAGCTTAAAAATATAAACAATACACCATAAAACAACTACTGCTTATTCAATGTTTAAAAGCAGGACAGTGAACACTATAAGGCTAGAAAAAAGGTAAAATGTTTTGCAGGAAGTGGAACTCACACAGTCCCTTCTCTGAACCTTGTAACGCTCTAACCATTTTACCCCCAGGAAAACGGTTAGAGCGTTACAAGGTTCAGAGGAGGGACTGTGTGGGGGGAGTGGGGTAAGATGAGCCAGTGGGTTGAGCCTGTATCTTGACAACTGTACACTTTTATTGTCATGTGACCATATATTTTGGATCCACCCATTATTTCTGCCAGACTGAAAATGAGAAGCACATGGGCACCCATTTACTTTAAAAACTGTTTTTGGCTTGTCAAAGTAAAATGTGAGCATAGTAGATGTAATGGCTGTTACATCAAAGCAAATTTGTCCAGGTCTAAAATATTTATGATGCATGTTGGTGATTTAGCAAGATATAAAACCATGGAAATGATTTAGCTAATATTAGCCTGAATTGGTAAGCTAGGTATAGTCAAGTCTGCATATCCATATCTGCACTTGCTACATCATCCTGTGTTTATGAGCTCATTGAAATCGTTTAATATAAAGTTCTCTCGTGCTTTTGGATAACAGGTCGTGCGCCTGCCACACAGCGGTTTGCTTGCTTTGCGGCTTTTTCTGCCATTGATTATTGTTAAGTGCATATTGTTATATACATTTTTATTGTTGTCAAAATTACAAGTATTTTTATAGTCCAAAACATAAATTTTAATATTCCAGAGAGACGTCATATGTGCATAATGAGGTTATTCGCCTGTGAAAGCTCACTAGAGTGTGCACTTGACTCATCTGATGTGATGTGGCATGTTACATGAATCTCAATATCCTTGAACCATGTGTATTTTTGTACGTTACCCATATATCTCTTTTTCCTCTTAATCAAATAGCCGGTTTCCTATTTGACGTCTTTGGTGCAATGTGTTATTTTTCTTCTCCTGACTTCTTTCTTTCTCGCTACGGCTCTCCCTCTTTCCTGCAGGCGGGCTGTTCATCAGGAACACAGATCAGGAGTACACTGCCTTTCGGTTGGCCATTTTTCTTCACAACACAAGCCCTAATGCATCCGAGGCCCCTTTTAACCTGGTACCCCACGTGGACAACATTGAGACAGCCAACAGCTTTGCCGTGACCAATGCCTGTGAGTTCAACCTGCTTAAACTGGCTATTTACATGAATGCTGCTTAATTAGCAACAGAAACAGGGTTGCGAGAGGATAGTGGGTGATTGCTTATGTTGATGGAAATACAGTTGGTTCATTCAGATCAGAGATCAAGTCCCACTTCCAATATGAATAGTAAACAATTTCGGCTAATGAGAATCATACTGGCTACATAAACTGAACAGAAGCACTAAAGGCCTTCCATCCAGTCAGCACTGGTGTGTCTTTGTGAAATCTGTCCTCCGGCTCTCAACTGGCACAAATACAGGCTAAGTGCATGTAGGGAGTGTACGGTATATTTGTGTATGCACCCTTCCCCCAATGCCATGAGCCGGGTATTCTCACTGTGTGTTCATGTGTGTGAATGTTTGAATGCATTTGTGTGCAATCTGCTGACATATGTGCTGGCATTGCATAAATTGTGTTTGTGTTTGGATTTTGCAATAATACAGTATAGGTCTGCCATAGTTGGTTTATAAACCCCTTCTGGTATTTCTTCTGTGTGGTGCCATGTTTAGGCCTGTGGGCCAGAGTGGTGGTTGTGCTTTAAACCAGTAACAATAAGGTTATGTCACATTGAGGTGCTCCATACTTTCAGAATTTTTTTTCATGCTCAGGATTTTTTGACATAGGGTCAGAGGGTAAACATGCAGCTCAGCCACGTTTTCCCTGGACTTGGTACTTCCTTGTTTGTGCCCAGTTTACTTGTTATTTCCTTCACGTAATTTTTCGTGCTCGGCTCTACAGCATACAGTGTTCCTTATTTTCTTGTTCCTTATCTACTGTGCTGTGATGAAGTGAAATGACGACCTGTGCTTCCCAGGTATTTGTGCTTTGTGGAAAGTTTGAAAATATGCGACAGAAGAAATGTTTCTCTTTAACTTCTTGCAGAGACAGCATCATAAACCCCATGAAATCAAAATTGGAGAATTGCAGCTTTCCTGTTACTTTCAAAGCCTTTTAAAAACTGATTGAAGCAGATGCACACATTTAAAATTGATGGTGTCTTTCAGGGAAATTGGAGGAATATTTTGATGACTCCTATTTCAATACACAGTTTTTGTCCAATTAAATTATCTGTAGAGAAAATGACCCTCCCTCGAATATCACCTGCAGAGCTCAACAATAAGGATGTCGGAAGTGTTTTAAACTGTATGCCTCTGTTTTTCAGTTGGATAAAAATATGAAGTTAAGGTTTTTGCTGTATAATTTTGTATAATGCTGTATAATTGTAATCAAAATTATTCAACCCCCATTGCAAATCAGGTTTATTGGCAATATTTACAGACATTCAGCTGTTTGCAATGAACAAATCAAACAAAAGTAATTGAAATAGCTGGTAAGTGATTTCCCCAAATTCAACTGAAAATGCAACTTTTAATGACTTCTACAGTCTCAAAATTATTCAACCCCCTGAATAGAATCCCTCACAACAGCCCAAATCTGCAAAACAGGTGTTGTCTCAAGCACATCTCATGCAGCTAATCAAGGGCTTCATTAGTTGCACCAGGTTTGCTTGAGCTAGAACACATGAAATACTTGAACTAGCTCGGTTTATTGAGTGTCCTATTTAACTGCACGTTAGAAATATGGCAAAGTCAAAAGAATTGTCCAAAAAGTTAAGAGAAGATATCATCGCCCTTCACAAACAAGGAACATGATACAAAAAGATAGCGAAGGCACTGAATGTTCATAGAGGCACCTTTGGAAGCATAGTTCGCAAGTTCAAAGTTAAAGGATCAATTTCAATTTATTTATTCGAGGATAGCCTCTTGAGATGCAACATCTCATTTTCAAGAGTGTCCTATAAACACAAATACAAAAAACAAATAATAAGAAAAACATTACATAACATACTTTACAAATACACATACAAAACTCATTCATACACAACTCATTTATACACAAGCTCTCTCATCCACTCACACCGATCCCTCACATTAACTTATATTTTATTCCAAGTTAAATAATACAGGTTGTAAAAATAATAATAATAATATCACCAGTAAATTAATAAATTTAAATTAAATTGAATGAAATAAGAAAAAGTAATAACAAAATTACAAAATGAGAAAAAATTTGACCAGATAAACAAATGAAACAAGGATTGCATTTAACTTAGAAGTTAAAAGCATAGACAAGTTGTTTTGAGGTATAGAGATAGGGATGATCTGAAAAAGCGAAAAGACGTTAAAGATCTCAAGGAAAGAGGGAGATTATTCCAGTCACTTGGAGCTTTATATTGAAACGTTCTACGTCCCACTTCTTTATAAATTCTGGGTACAAAGAAAAAGGGGTATTGCATGTGTCTGACAGGATATGAAGATCTGCATGGAATTAGATACTGTTTTAGATAGGAGGGACAGTTAAAATAAACACATTTAAAGATAAACTGAACCCAGTGAAATTGCCTTCTTGATTTAGGTTGCAACCAGTTTAGTGATTCATACAGTAAACAGCGCCAACGCAGTCAGTGAGGAAGCTGAAGCTTGGGCATCATTGGACCTTCCAAAAGGACAATGATCCCAAGCATACCTCAAATTCAACCAGGGTCTGGTTTCAGAAGAAGTCTTGGAAGATTCTACAGTGGCCATCATAGTCACCTGACTTGAACCCCATAGAAAATCTCTGGTGGGATCTGAACGCGGTTGCAGCACGCAAACCCAAGAATATTACTGAACTAGTGGGCATCGCTCATGAGGAATGGGCTAAAGATTCCTCAGAAACACTGCCAGAAGCTGGTGTCTGGTCATACATCTCGTTTGCAGCAGGTCATAACAGCAAAATGTTGTTTTACTAAGTATTAAAGATGCTTGCCATGAAGGGGTTGAATCATTTTGAGACTGCAGAAGTCATTAAAAGTTGCATTTTCCACTTGAAACATTAGTTGTGTTGAGCTATTTCAATTACTTTTGTTTGATCTGTTCATTGCAAACAGCTAAAAGTCTGTAAATTTGCCAATAAACCTGATTTGCAAGGGTGGTTGAATAATTTTGATTACAACTGTATAAAAATGTATATATATATATATTTTTTTTTTGTGTCATATATGTCATCAGGGGCGGACTGGGACCAAAAAGTGGCCCTGGACTTTCTGGCCCACAGCAGCCCACCACATAATATATTGGCTCATTAATCTGCAGAATAGTTTTTAACACCACTTATAGCATAAAAATATAACACAATACAAAAATAAATGCTATTTAAACATTTATTTTAAGTAACGCAACATATATTAGGTCATATATGTAAAACAAAGGGAAACAAACCGAATAACATTAAGACATAAAACATTATTAATATAAAACTATCAAGACAGCAAATCAGGGGGTATCATCTTGAGTGCAGTGTAAGATACACCAGTGCTGCACCACTCAGCTGTACAACTCCTGAATCAAGATTGAAAATATTTATATTTTTGAAAATATATTCAGCAGAGTTTTATGAGGAGGAGGAGGAGATGGCTTGTGTGTGTGTGTGTACATTTGAATGAGCTTGTCTGTATGAGAAACAGAGTTTATGTGTATAAGAGATGAAATGATTCCTTTAAAGGAGACAAAACAGATTATTCAGCACTATCTGTAATAAATATCTGTTAGTGTAAAGTACAAAGCAAATAGCCAAAGACAAATAATATTAATACTCATAAAACCTGCCCAGAAAGCCACATTGACAAAAAGGTGCAAACTTATTGAGTAAGTTGGTCCTATCTGCAATGAACATAGCTACAAAATCTAAAGGTTAGTAGCTAATTTAAATTTCTCTCAAACACTATAACATGCAAATCATCCAATTTTAAACATTAGAGGATCATCAAAATCTTAAATTATGTAATTATTAAGTTAAAGTTTTAAAACATAAAACAAGGAACTCGTTTTTGGAAGAAAACAATATTGGATTGTTTTAATTTTTTGTTTTAATGCTCGGAACAACTTTTCAGCTCCACCTTTTCTTTTCTTCCCCAATTTATCCATGGACAATTATTTGTAATTATCTGCTCAGAGAAATTCGCTGTAACGGATCAATCTCTCTCTCTGTAAATCAGACGTGAAAGGGGGTGTGTTTCAAGATACGCAATAGAGTAGACCAAACTAATTAACAGGGAGGGCAACACACTCACATGCACACAAAACACACTCTTTGTCGGCTGCGCCCGCGCGATCGACTCGCTCATCCATTTGCGTAGAAAAGAGATATAGGCCTTTTGATTTTCGGTTTTTTTTTTTTTTTTATATTTGTGTACCAGGTGGGCCGGCCCACATTGGTCAGCGGCCCACCGGGAAAAGTCCCGGTGCTCCAGATGGCCAGTCCGCCCCTGTATGTCATATATATATATATATATATATATATATATATCCAACTGGGCCTGAAGAAAAAAACGTACTGCTTACGTTATTGTCTCCGTGTTAGCTACAAAAACACAAATTTGTGAAAATGGTGACGTCATGCGCATGTGTATTACGTGTTCAATCTATAGACACGTAGTTTCTTTACAAAGTGACATCGCCAACTACTGGCCTGGCATGCATAATACAGCGGTTCTAGTCGTTTTTGCGGATCCGTGTGAATGGCGATCGTTTTGACAACGTTGTCATCTATACGCGAATAACGCAAAGGAAGAACTTTTCAGTTTTTAGTACATCATTGTCGTATAAACGTACACTTGTACTCCTTATCCGATATCATAACAGGCTGTGTTCTCTACACTGATGATAGTCCCTGTTCCCTGATGATGGAGTTGGCCCCTTGAATGATAATGATGAATTTGTCTGAAATTTATATAGCCCGTTTAACCTTCTCAGCAGATTAACGCAGCATGGTCGTGGTAATTTGAGCCAGCCTGATAAATTCCTGTCCTATTACTGTGTATGAACAATCGGTTTCAGTTAAACAGATTAATCGCCTGGTCCGTCACTCGCCATTTTGAGTGCAGTGTAAATCACTGCAGAGGAGCGGCAGCCCTGCTTGTATAGTAGTCA